ACCCAGATTCCTCGGGTGACACGCCACATCGCATTAGCCCGCTCAGCCGGAGCGCGACCTCGCTGACAGCAGCCCGAGCGCACACACGCAAAATGGGGGTGCGCTAACCCGTCGGGGTTGGCCTGAACACCACCCCACCCCACCCCTTTTCCTGCCAATCCTGCTCAGCTGACTAAAATGGCTTAGGGCGAGGGGGGTTCGACTTTGGCTTGTTTTGAACTCAACTACCTCGTGGCCACGCCTGCGCAAAATGTGCCAAAACAAAACATGAATCACAAAGATGAAATCAGCAGCTGTGCTCACCATGGCAACCGGACGGGCACGCAAACTATAGTCCCCCCTCTCCCCTATTTTTTTTGGGTAGGCACCTGCCGAAAGTTGGAAACCATGGCAACAGGGACAAGCAGATAGAAAAGGCGCGAGAGGCAGACACAGGATCTGGCTCGACTCCACTTGACAAGTGAGCTGATACAAAGCATTAACAAGGAACAAATGGAAGGCAGCCCATGTCACCCCCTTGTGTTCTTCGTCTTCCTTTCCTTGCCCTTGACAGTCCTCCATCTCTTCCTTAAGGATGTCGGGGGAATCATTCAAGAGGGAGTATTGACTCAATGTCTAGCTGAGATCATCTGAGCATACAGCATCTCCCTCAAGGATGCAGTGACAGTCACACAGCATCCCATCCATCATGACTTCACTCATCTTCTCACGCGCACGCTTCAGTGGAATTCATTTGCATACCAACAACTATTAATCCACCCAAAATATATCATAAAAAGACAGCTCGGTTGAAATTGGGTTGTTTTTTTTTTCCCCCCCTCTCCAACTGAATTTGGGGTGGGGCACAGTGGAGGGTTTTAGAGAAGGCGGCTGACTGGTGGGGAGAGTCAAGTGCAGGAGTTGCGCTTCTTGCGGGGCGCAGCGCCATCTGCAGCATGAAAGTCACAGTGAACGCGAACCACTCCCAAGTCCGAACAAAATGTCCATAACCACGCCATGTATGAGATCGAGAAATGAGGGGCCAATGAGTGTTACTACTTTGACATCAACAGTGAACGTTGAAGTCTTAATTCATCTTTTTCCATCGGAGCTGTTTTATTATAGACTGAATGGTGTAGTTTTCCTTTCTCCTTAAATTGCTCCCTCAGTTATGTTGCGGGTCAAATTGACCCAACTTGCCCATGAAATAAAACCATGTGCTATTTTGGGGTTTGCAAGTGTATGATTGACTTGACTGTCTTATTTAGCGAGCTCAACTGAACTCGTGTTTTCAGTATTGACCTGCAGAAACCAATATCTGACATGAGTGCGCCATCTAGTGGTCGCATTGAGCCTCCCGGTGAAGGAATTGATCAATATTTTGAAAACCAATGCTGACACCATCCTCGTGCGTGCAAGCAAACAACAAATGAGTGGCGGCCCGGTACGTGCACGCGCACCGGAAGACGCCAAAGACGTTCAGAAGCTTTTATCGGACATAACAAGCAACGCACTCAGACACGTCCTCACATGACTTGTTCGGCAGCAGCGGTGCCGAGTCACGAACCAAATGGCAACGGGGCAACGCCTGCGTTTCACGGGGAGGGGAAAATAAAGGGAAAATTCAGTTCACGGACTTTGAGCCGCATATTAAAAGAGATGAAATAAAGCGCAAACTTGACTGATCGCCTTCTGCAAAGTGATACATTGCGTGGCCACAACACCTCCAGAAGGGGGAAGCGTTGACCCAGCTGTGCTTCCTTCCCTCTTTGCAGCCTCTCCTCTTGTGACACACCTCGCCCCCAAAGTGGAGTCGGGCTCATCCGGCGTCGGGTTGCATCATGAACCCGCCACGCTGCCCCTTTCTGCTGCCACAAGAGCCGCACAGAGAAATTGGTGTGCGCACGAGCAAGCGGGGTCAGAACTTCAGCATATTCGGAAAGCTGAAATCAAGACACTTGGCAAATCCTTCAATTTGCACGCTCGGCTGAGTGTGGAGTGCACGTGCGCGGCGGCGGTAGAAAGAAGGCGTGGTTTAGCGGTGCACCTGCTGGTGACGTTGCAGCTGGCGAGCAGCTCACAAGCGGGAAGGCCCGGCCTGGGGGTGGACTGCGCGCTCAGTAGTCCGGCAAGCGGTCCGCCTGGCAAACACATGAAGGAGGAACCTCAACGTGCGGTGTCGCCTCGACAAGCGTGAGCCACATGCACGGGAACAAACACACACACCCACGCACACAAAACGCTTCCTATTATGCAACACTTCCTCTGATTCACTTCCGATTTCTACAGGGCACCTTCGGCGACCGTTTGGCCTCTTTTTGTTCAAACAGTGCGACAAAACAACAAAGGGAAAAAGAAGATGCGGCATTTCATGGTGGTGTTGGGGGCTCCGGTGCAAGATTGGGGTGCTGCATTGGTTCTCCAAATTTTTAGACCAAATCCTGCCCTAAAAAACAAAACAAAAATAGCTTCATCATGACCAACGTGAAAACACAGTAGCGTAGTCGGCCTAAATGTTCATCAAACCCAAAACGGGGGTGTTGAAAAAAGGAGAACAGCAACAGATCCATGAGATGGAAGTCATGGCATGGCGCCCCTTTTACGAGCAATGTCGTTTTGGAGGTTTTCGGACAACCATCCAATTTTGATGAATCAACTGACAACGGAACAAGTCATGAGATTTGAATGAAGTGATATTTAGAGCTGCCATTTCATCGGCGCTCTATTGATTTCCCTCGACAGTCTGAGCAAAAGCAGGCCGAGTTGCAGGAAGGGCGAGTGAGAAGCGCGGGCGGCAAGAATGCCACCGCGTAAGCGAACGTGTGCGTCTGGGGGCTGCTCAAATGCAGCCGGTCGGAAAAGCTTGATGGCAACAAATGCACAGCGAGCATCGGTTGAGTCCAACGCAGAAGGATCGATAAGCCGCTCTTCCGCAGCACTTCAACTCCAGCGCCAGCAACCTTTGAGGAGGCCATCAAATGCATCAACTATCTCAAAACAACGATAAACTCAATGCTCAAACGAATCCAAGTCTTTTTTGGGGGGGTGTCAAGCCATGATGGACTTCTCATGTTGCTGATTAAAGGCAGCTTCTCGGCTACAAAAAGCCATGCAGGAGGTAGGGCACGTGGTTTCTCGCCACGATCACGCCAGCGAACTGATCTAAATTATTAATAGCTTTTCCGCTCTCTCTTGGAAAGTAGTTTGCCTGGGCAAATCACACCAGACATTCCCACATCATGCTAGCTAGCGCAACCAGGGGCAAGTGACGCTAACAACATTTTGACAGGAGGGAATACTCGTGCTGGTATCGGTCTGGAAAGAAAAAGTGGTGTCGAACGTCGCTACCGAATGAATAAAGGGAGGATTCATCTTTGGAAGTTCTGCCGAATCTACAAAAAGAGCGGAGACAATCTGAAGAAAACATCGCAAGCTGCCTGCAATCACATCTCACAACTTCCTGGCTAAGATTTCAGGGCGAGCGCACGAGATTTGCCCTTTGAGGAGAATCGAGGCGTCAACACGTTCACTTCCGCTTTCAGAAGCCTTTTTTTTCTCATGAGACACACAAGATGTCTCAAACGCATCCTGCAGATAGGGTTCTCGTTTGAGCTTACAATCGGGAGAAAGGTTGCTGATTGTGATTTTCAAAATAAAAGCAGTTGTTGGCTCATGTCATCTTTTGATCAAACAAGCCGGTCTGCTTCCATGATGGACAACAGAAACTCGACGTTTCTGTTATTTGTGCAGCCCTCTTCAGGGCACAGCCACATGGGAGCTGTTGTCAGCCACAGCTCTCATCCAGATACTCATTTACCCGATCATCTTTGCTGACAACATGTCGAAAGTAAGCCCAAGCAGATCAGACCACAATTTTTGGTAATATCCATCCATCCATTCATTTTTCCCATCCGCTTTATCCTCGCAAGGGTTGCGGGGGGTGGAGCCTATCCCAGCCATCTTCGGGGGACACCCTGAACCGGTTGCCACCCAATCGCAGGGGACACAGATACGAACAACAATCCGCGCTCACACTCACACCTGGGGACAAATTAGAGTGTTCAATCAGCCTGCCATGCATGTTTTGAGAATGTGGGAGGAAACCGGGAGAACATGCAAACTCCACACAGGAAGCCGGGATCGAACCCACGACCTCTGCACTGTGAGGGCGACGAGCTAACCACTGGTTTACCTGGTAATATGATCCTTATTATTCGTGTTATCTGTCAGGTCTATGTTCGCTGTCAGCAGTGAAGCACGCAAGGGTGGAAATGTAGAAAAGTGGAAAAAAGAGCAGCCTTGGATAATCCAAAACCATACGGTTGAGTTTAAAGTGTAATCTCCAAATGATTAGCGGAAAGGGGGGGTCTTTTGCAGGCTGGACAGAGAACGGGGTCAATGCTGTAACGTGTGTTGCGGTGTGTCAGGGAAGAGGCAATTTAAAAAAAAGGGGGAAATGAAACCTGAGCATGTTAAGTTGGTGAAAGACTGACTAACTCGAAAACACACACGCAAGCGTGCGCACATACTTTTCGTGCTGGCTGCCTACGGGAAGGAGGATGTCTCCCAGCAATGCATCGTTCGTGATTCATCATTTCTCTCCCCTGCGGCCATGAAATTGCGCGAAAGCGAATGAATGGCAACTGGTGGGCAGGGGAGGCCGACAGGCGGAATAAAAAAAAAAAAAAGAAACAAACAAAAACACCACAAGTGGACATTTTCAACCCGTTTCTGTCATACCTCGTCGCCGGCAACGGGGTGGTTGGACGGCACGCTCCCGACGAGAAGCCGAAGAAGAAGGAGGAGAAGGCGAAGAAGAAGATCTTGTCCGCTTCTCCGCGAGCTCCAAGGTAGAAGAAGAAAAGCAATTCGCCGTTTCCGGGTTAGTGACTGACGTCATCGGAGGAGAGGGGGCGGTGGGGCTCGTTTTGGTCAAATTGGCGTCTCGAAAGGGTGGACGTGTGCAGTCATTTCATTCACTTTGAATCGGCAGAAGCCCCGCCCCCTGTCAACCACCACCACCCACTGGCCGAGTGCTCCTCATCACTTCCGTATATGAGCCTTCTCGTGCAAAGCTGCTTGAAGTCATTCGATCCCATGCAGCTTTAATCAGCAATCGAAACCCAATCTCTGGCCTTTAAACCACAAATAAGAAGCTTCATTCTCGAGTGCCTTTGAGCAAGAGACCAGGCTAGAATGAAGTTAGGCCGAGGAGGCTCTGATCGTGACCTTGAGGTGACCTGCCCGTTTGGGGTGAAATGTCTCAGCTTTACTATGTGCGTCGCGTTTGATAGCAGAAGAGCAGCCAGAGTTGATCTCAAGTTGACCCCACCTTCCCACTTCCGTTCATTCAACAACAATATACATTCCACTTGAAAAGAGCATCATTGCGCTTTGTAGCCTATCGGTGGCAATGTTGTCCACAGTTTTGCATGAGTGACGAGACTGATTTTCTCACTGTCGCCAGTTAAAAAAAACTGAATTTAGCGTTCTCGTGTTGCTCCAAAAATGAAGCAGCATTGGGTTTCTCACCTGACCCATTATGATGAGTCTGATTGGCGAAAAAAATCACAAATTACTCAAAGTGATTTAACACCGATGACGCAGCATTAGGACAGGGACGGCGTTACAGGGGGCCCGATTTCTGACGGGGCAATAGCCCCGTCAGAAATCGGCAAAACCCAGCTTAAGCCCCCCTGCATTTTCTTTGATATTCTAAAAAATATTTTCAGATTTTCTATTACCTTTGAAAATACGTTTCCTAACTGGAGCACTGAGTGAGCTTAACAACATCGGTCAATTAGTTGAAACGAGGCTTCGCACCTGAGCTCATCAACGAGCGGCCCATAAAAACCTCCCTCGGGAGCGGCTGCCTCCAAATCTCTCAAAGCAAATTTGATCTGGAAGGAGAAACGAACCTGCAGCATCTTGGCATGGCAAAGGAGAAACCTCACGTCAACCTGGTGGTCATCGGCCACGTGGACAGCGGCAAGTCCACCACCACGGGCCACCTCCTGTACAAGTGCGGTGGCGTGGACCAGAGAAAGCTGGAGAAGTTTGAGAAGGCCGCTGCTCAGGTAGACCACGCGAGGAAACCCCACCCTTGGGTTGCAATGGGACTCGGCCGTCACTCCGCTTTTCACTGGGCAGGTGGGCAAGAGTTCGTTCAAGTTCGCGTGGGTGCTGGACAAGCTGAAAGCTGAGCGCGAGCGCGGCCTCACCATAGATATCTCGCTGCTCAAATTCAACACACGCAACTTCTGCATGACTGTCATTGACGCGCCTGGACATCGCGACTTCATCAAGAACATGATCACGGGAACTTCACAGGTGCGCTGCATTCCAATCTTTTAATTTTTTTAAACTGGATCAGAAATGAAAAATTTCGGGGGGGGAAAGCAATGAGTTGAATTTTGTACCAGTATTAGTGTTTCTAAAATGTATCTAAGTGAAAGACAACTGAAGTTGGGAACGAGCAGCCGTTTGGAAATGACTGTTGGGGAATGGTAAGAGACTCTCACCGTTACAGGCGGACGTAGCGTTGCTGATGGTGTCGGCCGCCAAGGGTGAGTTTGAGGCAGGTGTGTCGCGAGGCGGGCAGACCCGCGAGCATGCCCTGCTGGCGTACACGTTGGGGGTCAAGCAGATGATCGTGTGCGTCAACAAGATGGATGCCACCGAGCCGCCCTATTGCCAGCAGCGCTTCAAGGAGGTGGCGCGCGCCGTCGGTGTCTTCCTCAAGAAAATCGGCTATGACCTCAACACCGTGCCCGTTGTCCCCATCTCTGGCTGGACCGGTGACAACATGATCAGCGCCACACACAAGGTGAAAGAAATGTACTTTGGGACGAACAGCTCGTAAGTCCTTCAATCGGTCGCTGAATAGCACATTTGCCCAAATCAGTGGTTCACAACTTTTTTTTTCCCCATCAGCTCAAATGATCAGTTCATAAGCGAGCACTGCAGCAGTCTAATGATCCTGATCATTTGAATCGGGTGTATTGAAGACGGTATTGAAGATCTAAAACATGCAGGATAGTGGCCCTTGAGAACTGGAGTTTGCCAACTGTGCTGTAGAGACACTGTATACATTGAATTCAACTTCCACCACTCTTCATGTTATGGTAGAAACAAATAATAAAACACCCTTTAGGTTTTAGAAAAGTGTCTTCATTGTCCAACTTGGAAAAGCAATTGAACTTGAAATACTGGGCTTGTTGTGATTTTCTTAGATGGCGTGGTTCCAGGGCTGGAAAGTGCGTCGCCGACAAGGCAATGCAAGCGGCACAACTCTGCTAGAGGTGCTGGACTCCGTTCAAGTCCCTGTTCGAGCCCTTAATAAACCTTTGCGCTTACCCCTACAAGATGTCTACAAGATAGGAGGTGAGTGAAGCTTAAAAAAAAAAAAAAAAATACTGGCCAAAAGCACGCTGTGGACAACGAGGCGCTCCTTTTGTGGGCAGGCGTTGGGACGGTTCCGGTGGGCAAGATCGAGACGGGCAGATGGCGTGGTTCCAGGGCTGGAAAGTGCGTCGCCGACAAGGCAATGCAAGCGGCACAACTCTGCTGGAGGTGCTGGACTCCGTTCAAGTCCCTGTTCGAGCCCTTAATAAACCTTTGCGCTTACCCCTACAAGATGTCTACAAGATAGGAGGTAAGTCAAGCTTAAAAAAAAAAATACTGGTCAAAAGCACACTGTGGACAACGAGGCGCTCCTTTTGTGGGCAGGTGTTGGGACGGTTCCGGTGGGCAAGATCGAGACAGGTGTTCTGAAGCCGGGCATGACGCTGACCTTCTCGCCTGCCAAGGTGACAGCGGAAGTAAAGTCTATCGAGATGCACCACCAAGGTTTGGATGCTGCGCTGCCAGGCCACAATGTGGGCTTCAACCTCAAGAATGGGTCGGTCAAGAACCTGTGGCGCG